CCTAACCGCGTGGTGGCTGGGTACCATCTTTCGGGAAGCCTTCCTCCCTCTCTTTCACCTAGGACAGACCTCGGGCCAATCCTATGACATCCTGGGGACCTTTCTGCAGTTAATCAGTCCGTCCTAAGTTCTTGCAAAAAGGCCCTGTTAATACTGAGATTCTCTGGGGCGGGGGGTGGGAGGCAATTCCACCATTTGGAGCCAAATTTAAAGCAAGCTTTATTAAATATTAAATACTGACCAAGAGATAGACTTTGTTCGGGACCATCCCTGGAATCTTCCAGCTGGAATGGTCCCGAGCCATGTGTTGCAGGGACTTATAAGGGCAAACCTATAAGCTACTTTATTTCCCCACGAGGCTTTGTTATTTTCCAAGAACTACAACTCCTAGCATTCCAGGAAGTTACCTGGCTCTTGGGCAGGTGCTGTTTTCAGGTTAATTTTGGGCATTACAGCCTCAAGAGACCAAATTAAAAACCAACATGAAGATGCTTCAGTTCTCAGTGAACAAATTCTGGATTCTGACCTGAGTAGAGATCAGAAGTCAGACTGGCCACCCGACATCACAATGAAGCCCCCTCTACCCCAATCCCAACACCAAAAAGGGTTCGAATTTTAACCCATGAACTCATGAGTTTTCCTATTGTTTCTCTCCCTACCTTTCAAGGAAAGAAACTTTGAAACACTGATCTACTTTTCTTCTTGTAATGCTTTCATCTTTAACCCTTCTTAGTTTATAAAACCAATTTCTGCTCCACTCATTGGAAAAATAATTCTATGCTAAGGAACAGAGCCTTTTCATATGCTAGAATGGAATATAAGGCCAATTAAGATCTTTAAATGGTTGTAATCCACTTCATTTGACATGGCTACATCCTAGCTGGAAGGTCTTGAACAATGCCCTAGCTAGCTTTCACTGTCGATCTGACACAATTTGAGAATCAAGCGAGAAGGCAGTCTCAAAATGACAGACCACCAGGATCAAGTTGCCTTGTGGGAATGTCTGTGAGAGATTGTCTTAATTGATGAGAGATTGTTTAATGGATGTAGGGGTCCATCATGGGCAGCACAATTCCTTGGCCAGGTGGTCCTAAGAGGTTCACAGGATCCAGCTAAGTATATACTAGGACGTGAGCCAGCTGCTAAGCAGCATCGCTTATGGTTCCTGCTACAAACTTCTTGGCTGTGAAGTGAGTTCCTTGGTAACCTTGTGTGGGATAGCAAGCAGGCCTGCAGTGAGTTCCTGCATTGACTTCCTTCAGGGATGAACTGTGACCTGGAAGTGTAAGCCCAACAAATTCCTTCCTCCTTCAGTTGCATTTTGGTTAGGGTGTTTGTCCCAGCAGCAGGAAGGAAACTACCTTTCTGTAAAGTGGGTTAGTAAAAGCCCTACCTCACAGAACTGTGTGAGAACTAAGGGAGTCAACGCTGTCAGCAAGAGGCATGGTGCCTGCTCTATAACAAGCATGCTGTGTTAGCTACTGCTACTGCAGCCTCCACTCTGCTTTTCTCTGTCTTGAACACATGGCTGATAAGGCAACAGTCCCAAACCTGGGGGACACTGCATCTCTGCATGATGTAATTCCCAACTTCCTTCTGGGAAGAAATTAGTGTTGATAAATGCGTAAGCAATTTTCTGATAAACTTTAATAAGATTAAAACCTCTTCTGGGAAGCCAGTTACCCACCCACTCAGCTGACTGCCAGTGAGGAGTTGCTAATGCTTTTGAAACAATTCTCGGTCTGCAGGCAGTGGAACGGTGATTATCTAATCAGACTGTTTCTCTGTATAATTTTTCTACTGAGACTACCTCTGAATTGGCCTGCATAAGTCTCTTTTCTTTTGACCTGCTTGAACTGAAACCTGATGCAGGGCTTAAGAAAAAGTGTCTGAAAACATACACAACCAACTGCAGTGCATGGAAGGGGGTACAGCATTTCTTGGTATTATTTCCTAATGTTCATGTTAGGAGAGGGATTTAGGATGTGGGAGGGAGAGACCACATGTGTGTTTTTAGTCACATTTTAACTCAGAGCTTAACATGGCTACCGATACATAAAATGTTTATTTAAGTGAAAATTTATCTATTAGAAGACAAAGTGGAGAAAAATCTGGAACTCCTTGGCACAGGAGACAACTTCCTGAACAGAATACTAACAGCACAGGCTCTGAGATCAACAATCAATAAATGGGACCTCATGAAACGGAAAAGGACACTGTCATCAGAACAAAACAGCACCCTACAGATTGAAAAAGATCTTTACCAAATCTACATCAGAGGACTAATATCCAAAATATACAAAGAACTTAAGAAATTAAAGACCAACAAATCAAGTAATCCAATTTAAAAATGGGGTACAGAGCTAAACCTAGAATTTACAACATTTGAGGTTAATGGCTGAGAAGCACTTAAAGAAATGCTCAACATCATTAGTCATCAGAGAAATGCAAATCAAAACGACTCTAAGATTCCGTCTTACACCAGTCAGAATGGCTAAGATCAAAAACTCAAGTGACAGCACATGCTGGAGAGGACATGGAGAAAGGAGAACTCTTTTCCATTGTTGAGTGCAACCACTTTGGAAATCAATCTGGCGCTTTTTCAGCAAATTGGGAATAGTTCTACCTCAAGACTCAGCTTTACCACTCCTAGGCATATATATGCCCAAAAGATACTCCACTATACAACAAGGACATTTGTTCAACTATGTTCATAGTAGCTTTATTCATAATAGCCAGAATCTGGAAACAACTTATCTGAAGAATGGATAAAGAAACTGTGGTACGTTTACACAATGGAATACCACTCGGCTATTAAAAACAAATAAATCATGAAATTTGCAGGCAAATTGATGGAACTAGATAAGTGAGTGAGGTAACCCATACCCAGAAAGACACACATGGTATATACTCATGTATAAGTGGATATTAGATCTATCGTACAGAATAACCATACTACAATCCACAGACCCAAAGAAGATAAGTAGCAAGGAGGGCCCAAGGGAGGGTGCTAGAATGTCTCTCAGAAGGAGAAATAGAATAGGTATCAGAAGTGGATGAAGAGAGGGAACTGGGCAGGAGATGAAATGGGGATGGAAATGAGGGTGGGGATCAGATGTGGGGAAAATGGGGGTGGAAGGTGAGAAAGCTGTGAGAAAGAAAAAAATGAGGAGGGAATCTCTTTGACAAGCTGAAGGCCTGCAACAGGATGGGCTCCTGGGAGGAGATGGATGTGATTCTAGCTGAGACTCCTCGCAGGGGGGGACATGAAGACTGCAGTGACCATCTTCTAGCCAGGCAGGACTCCTAGTAGAGGGAGGGGAACAACAAGCCACCCACAAAACCTTTGATCCAAAAATTACCATGCCTACAAGAAGTGCAGGGATAAAGAAGAAACAGAGATTGAGAGAATGTCCAGCCAATGATTGGCCCACCCTGAGACCCACCCCACAGTGGAGCCATCCCCTGACACGTTACTGATGCTCTGCTCTGCTTGCAGACAGGAGTCTGGGAGGCTCCACCCAGCGGTAGATCTAGACAGATGCTGGGACTTGTAGTCAAGTGAAGGAAAGAGCTCTGGGGGTCTTGTGGAAGAATGGGGGGAAAGATGAAAGGACCTGGCAGGGACAGGAACCCACAAGAAGACCAGCAGAGACAATGAACCCAGACCCACAGGGGCTTATAGAGACTGAGACATCAACAAAGGAGCAGGCATGGTCTGGACCTGGGCCCCCTGCACATAAGTGGCTGATAAGAAGATTGGTCTTCATGAGGGTTGCCTGGCAAGTGGAGGGGGGGGCTGTTTCTTACATGGACTCTATTGCTGGCTTTTGGATCACTTCCCCATGGCAGGACTGCCTTTCCTGGCCTCAGTGGATGAGGATCTGCTCAGTCCAGATGTGACTTGATGTGCTGGGGTGGATTGATAGAGGTTGAGGGGTGGGGGATGGGGAGGGGAGGAAAGGAGTGAGGAGAAGGGGGAGGAAGGGGAAGGGGCCTGGGAGAAAAGGAAAGGTGGGGAGCTGCCCTTGGGATATAAAGTAAATAAACTTAAATTAAAAAAAAAAAAACTGAAAAAAAAATGGAAAGAAACAGGCTGAGAGAGCCAAGGGTAGCAAGCTAGTAAGCAGTGTTCCTCCGTGGTCTCTGCTTCAGTTCCTGCCTTCATGAAGCTGTCTTGAGTTCCTCATTTCCCTTCACGACAGATTGTAATCTGTATGCTAAAATAAACCCTTTTTCCCCAAGTTGCTCTTGGTCATGGTCTTTATCACAGCAACAGAAACCAAACCGAGATGCTGCAAACATGAAGACACGAGCCCATATCCCTAGCACCCACACAAAAGCTAGGCATGGCATGTGTCCCTGTGACCTCAGCACTGGGCTCCATGAGTTTGCTGGCCAGCCAGCCTAACCAAGATGGTGAATTTCAGATGCAGTGAGAGACCTGCCTCAAGGGGATAGAGTGGCGAGTGATGGAAGAAGATACCCAGTGTCCACTGGCCTTTGCATGAATGTACACATGTGCACATATGAATACGTCATGCCATATCACACATACACACACACACACACACACACACACACACACACACACACACACTTTCTCTTAGACAGACTGGGAGGGTGGACTACAGAGCACTATACGACTTTATGTACTGACTTTGGGTTCAACTGTGAACCCCAAATTTGGTATTAGTAATGTGGGTTTCAGAAAGTTGCTCCCCTTCTTGACTTTCCACTTACTTGTACTGTGGAAAAAAGGCACATTACAGTTAATATGAGAGGAGAAAGTTATTCAAAGAATGAGACACATTACCAAGTATATTAGAACCTCAAAATATCATACTTCTATGTCTTACTATTGATTCTTTTTTAATTAAATTTTTATTTTTTTATATTAATTACAGTTTATTTACTTTGTATCCCAGCTGTAGCCCCTTCCTTCATTCCCTCCCAATTCCACCCTCCCTAGGAGAGTTCCTCCTCCCCTTCCATCTTACCCTAGCTTATCAGGTCTCTTCAGGACTGGCTGCAATGTCCTCCTCTGTGGCCAAGCAAGGCTGCTCCTCCCCTAGGGAAGAGGAGGTCAAAGAGTCCGCCATTGAGTTCATGTCAGAGACAGTCTTTATGACATTGAAAAACTCATGTCCTTTCTCTAGGTCTTGGTTATCTCAACCAAGGAGTAGGAGTTCAAAGAAAAAAAAAAACTCTCTAAGAACCTATTGCTGAAGACACTACACCCTTTGGACATGAAACAAAGTTAAGTTTGTTCTACTAGAAAGCCTTCCCCACCCCATAGCTGGCTGACATAGTACCAAAAGATGTTTTTTAGTCTGCTGGGGAAGAAAAGTCATCAATAGTCGTACTCTGTTGGAACCCTATGTGCTACAATAATGGCAGTCTGGCTAGTCAAGCAATGGGTACAATAGTGGCACAAATGTTATAAGGGTAACCACTTGTTTTCATCTTGCATCTGAGGCATGTTCCACAGGAAGAAACTCATGCTTAGCACTATAAATCTGGCCAAGAACCCATGGCTAGGGAGTTCATGGAGCCTACCTCTGTTATTTTTGCTAAATAGACACAGTATCAATGTGCCCTCTAAATTAATATCTCTATGCTCGTAGATTAATGCAGTCCTCAGGCATCATGAGAGAAACTTCTTTGTGCAGTAGGCAATGATTAACGCATAATCTCATAGCCGACCAAAGTACAGAGAGTAAGTGTGGACTGTCCAGCCACATGGAAATCTGTATCATTCATTACCCTCACCCCTCCCCAAGACTCATCTTGGAAGAAAAGGAGGAAATATTACAAGAGCCAAATAATGGAGAGGACTGGAGTGAAACAGTGTCTTCTGGACTTGACAATAATTGTGATTGCCTGTATAACAGCGGCACAAGATCTGGTAGTCAATACTATCAAAATACATTGGATGTATATATGACATTCTCAAAGAACTAATATAAAATGTTTGGTCACTTCCTAGCCCTTCTTTTTTTATTTATATTTTTATTAATTATAGTTTATCCACTTTGTTTCCCACTTGTAGCTCCCTCCCTCCTTTCCTAATCTCACCCTCCCTCCCTCTTCTCCACCCATGCCCCTCCCCCAGTCAACAGATAGGGGAGATCTTCCTCCACTTCCTTCTGATCCTAGTCTAGCATGTCTCATCAGGAGTGGCTTCATTGTCTTCCTCTGTGGCCTGATAAGGCTGCTCCCCGCCTCAGGGGGAGGTGATCAAAGAGCAGGCCAATCAGCTCATGTCAGAGCCAGCCCCTGTTTCCATTGCTAGGGAATCCACTTGGACACTGAGCTGCCATGGGCTACATCTGTGCAGAGGTTCTGGGTTATCTCCGTCAATGGTCCTTGGTTGGAGTATCAGGCTCAGAAAAGACCCCTGTGCCCAGATTTTTTGGTTCTGTTGCTCTCCTTGTGGAGCTCCTGTCCTCTCCAGGTTTTATCCACTTCTTTCATAAGATTCTTTGTGCTCTTCCCAAAGTTTGGCTATAAGTCTTTCCTCAAAATCCAGCTATAACACTCCTAGGCATATATCCAAAATAAGCTCAAGTATACAACAAGGACATTTGCTCAACCATGTTTGTAGCATCTTTATTTGTAAAGCCAGAAGCTGGAAAAAACCCAGATGACCCTCAGTTGAGGAATGGATACAGAAATTATGGTGCATTTACACAATGGAACACTACTCAGCAATTAAAAACAAGGAAATCATGAAATTTGCAGGCAAATGGTGGGAACTGGAAAAGATCACCCTGAGTGAAGTATCCCAGAAGCAGAAAGACACACAGGGTATATACTCACTCATAAGTAGATATTAGACATATAATATAGGATAAACATACTAAAATCTGTACACCTAAAGAAACTAATCAAGAAGGAGGACTCTGGCTAAGATGCTCAATCCTCATTCAGAAAGGCAAAGAGGATGGATATCAGAAGAGGGAGAAAACAGGGAACAGGACAGGAGCCTACCATAGAGGACCTCAAAAGACTCTACCCTACAGGGTATCAAAGCAGATGCTGAGACTTACAAATTTTTTTTTAAAGAGAGTTTTTAAAAAACCTTCACATGCCAGCGATATATCAGGGCAAAATAAGAAAATGCCTTAAAAATGTTTTGTTTTGTTTTGTTTTGTTTTGTTTTTTTTAAATAATAAAGGTCAGGCACATTTAGCTTCCAAATAAGATGAAGACATGAAGATTGAATTTACTCTCCTGCCTGAAGCAATAAAAATACTGGTCAATTTAAATGAAGTGACAATTTTTTCAAGATGCTTGACATGAGGACCCCAAAAACTGATATTTGAGAATAAAAACAAAGTGGGCCATACAGGTGTTCCAGTGATAGCTATACAGGTGTTCAGTGATAACTGAGCTAAGTGTCGTGTTCTCCCTGAATGGAAGAAACAGATCTGAGTCCAGATGCCTTTAAGGTTCACAAGACAGAACATCAGAAGAGAGGAGGCGAGGAGCAGGGAGAGAGAGAGGAAGCAAAAACCATCTAAGCTCAGGTAATGATGAAGACCTGTACAGAAAGGATAAAAACAAATAGTAGCACCATTCATGGCAGACAGGAACAGAACTTTCCCATCTGCAGACGGGAGCAGCTCATATTTCAGGGCATTGGTCAGCACTCAGTAAGGTCTTAAAACTGTACTCGGCCATAATTAGGCCTAGAACACATGTGGATCTTGACTTGCCTAGAAGATATTAAGACAAAAGGCAATAGGATCAAAGTGTTTCCAATAAAAAGTTTAAGAACATTTAGAGAAATACAAAAATGCCCACCATATACAATAAAACCATCAGTGCCTGGCAGCCAATCAAAGATTATCAGATACACAGTGAAGCCAGGCAATGAGGCATAAATGAGGAGATGAATTAAAAACTGACTGAGAACTACGCAGATGTGAGAATTTACCAGAGTAGGAGAACACTAAAGGTGTAACTGAATGTTCAGGAAGTTAAGGTATAGAATGTAGGACGTAAAAAGAACAAAGTTAAACTTCTAAGAGATGGAAAGCAGCATGTTTGAAATGAAAAACACACTGGACAGAATCCAGTTAACTGCTGATTAGATCTCTCTTCTCGTAGTAGAATTGGGAAATTTAAATACATAGACACATAGCCATAAGGACTTTCTAGAAATAATCACACAGAAGGGAAAAAAGAACGAAAAAAAATAAAAGTACAGAGTAGCAGTGCCTGTGGGGTAACTGTTGACAGTGGTGTGGTGTGTTTGTGTATGAGTGTGTGTGTGTGTGTGTGTGTGTGAAGTCCCCATAGGACACGTGGTAAAATATAGGAAAAATTTGTGAAAATATAAAAGCTAGAAAATAACTACCCTTGATTTAGAAAATTCTCAAATCAATATGTTCACAAGCGCATGAGGCTCAGCCAGCAATCCTGAAATACAAGAGACAAGAAAACTATATCAAGACAAATCGTCTAGTTGTTTAAAATCAGTAAAAGCAAAAGTCTTAAAAGCGGACAAAAAAACATAGTCAGAATAACAAATATGTGTTATAACAGATTTTTTCATGAAAATATGAGCAAAAACAGGCAATATCTCTATTAAAAAGGGCCAACCTAAAATTTTCTACACAGTAAAATGTCTTCCAAAAGCAAACATGAAATCGTGACTTTTTTCAGTCATTGTCATAGTTAGGGTTTTATTGCTGTGAAGAGATGCCATGACCAAAGCACTCTCTTAAAGGAAAGTATATTGGGGCTGTTACAGTTTCAAAGGTTCAGTCCATTCTCATGATGGCCATCAACCTGGTGGCAAGCATGGCGGCAAGTGGGCAGACACGGTGCTGGAGAAGGAGGTGGGAGTTCTACATCTTGATCTGCAGGCAGCAGAAAGGGGACTGTGTGCATATTTTCCTGTAGCTTGAGCATGGGGGACCTCAAAGTCCACCCCCACAGTGACACCCTTCCTCCAACAAAGCCACACCTATTCCAATAAGACCACACTTCCTAATAGTGCCATTCCTTTTGGGCCAAGCATTCAAACACATGAGTCTATGGTGGCCACACCTATTCAAACCACAGTCATATAAAAGATGGGGAAGAAACAAAGAGATTGCTCAGTCAGTAAAGTACTTGCCAGGTAAGCATGAGGACTTGCATTTGGATCCATAGCATCCAAGTTAAAAAAAAAAAAAAAAAAAAAAAGAAAGTGCTAGAGCATCTCCATATTACCTATATTCCCACCACTGGGGAATCAGAGAAAGAATTCCAGGGGCTTGCCTGGCATCAGATTAGCCAAACCAGCAAGCTCCAGACTTGGTGAAATTCCCTGTTTCAAAAGATAAGGTGGGGAGCGACAGACACCAAAGAAATAAATAGGTCATCAAAACTGTGTGCCATGCTACAATTAATCAAAAGACAGGATAACTGCATTAATTTTAGACCAGGTGGACTTCAGAGCAAAAGTATTGCCAAGAACAAAGGTAATTTCACAATGATGAAAAAATTTACTCACTCCAGCAACAGCGGCTCCTAGCAAAGAAATCCCAACTCAGGATCTGGGACAGAGGATACTCAGTCCCTATTACCCCCACCCCCCATCTTCCACCCCAGCACTCTCCTGGGACCGGCCACCATAATCCTTCCCCAGCAGAGGTGAAAGATACAGAGGAGGCCTACAGAGTCTGCCACAGAGCACACTGCCTGGGCTCCAGCGCAGGTGGCACCCAGCACGGCACACAGTGCTGGTGGACACCAAGACCTGCTGCTACAGCACCACTGAGCTGACTGTTAGCCTACACCTGGTATTTGCTCCAGCAGGATCAAGTCGGAGAGTAGAGAACAAGGGGAACTGTGCTTACCAATGGTCCTGCAAGAGAGTGAGTGCACCTTCAAGTGAGTGCTTGCAGAGCCCCAGATCCAGTGCCCCTCTATGCAAGCAACCAGACAACAGATCCCTACCACCCACACCCCTAGTGTGAGCATCATAGCGATTCTTGGGACAGCATTCTCAACTTTGAATCCTGCTCTGCGGATCTACCAGTGAATTCCAGGCAAACAGTTCCTGGAGCCCAGACA